TTGTCCAGAAGCTATAGGGAGTCCAATAAAAATGAAACGTGATTTCTCCAAAGTTCTGTTTTTCTTCTTTTTCATTTGCCCGGACAGTCAGAAAATATCAAACCTTTTAAGGTGACATGTCATTTCAAATTTTGGGCTATTCATCTTGGGCAAAGTCTTATAATGGACATTTAATTAATGAAAATATACAAATGAACTTTTCTGAATTGTCTATATCCAAGTATCTAATGGAAATATTAAGAATATGTTCCACTAGAAAATAACTCCAGAATACCAATCAACCTCACCATGTCTGCTATCTCTGAGCATGTATAAAAGGAAACTGCCCCTGCAGAGTCCACAAAAACATCAGTGCCAAAAATGGAGGAAGGAACTTCTTTTTTTCCCCAATTAATACTTATTTTTAATTTCCAAAAATACTGCAGGAGGTATACTTAAACAAAACTGGGGAAACAATGTTTGCAGTGAAAGAACTATCAAAACCAGAAGTAATCCAGATAATTGAAAAGCAGTAACTTACTGTGATTTCTAAGTGGGATATATCTCTCATGATGCCGCTTCCTAAACAGATTAAAACCATGAAAAAACCAAATTCCCGAATGGAGCTAATTCTTCCAATTACTATATCACCACGCTCAATATCTCGGAAAAACAGCTCTCTCCGATCCATACTAGGTATTTCCATAAACTGCTCTAAAGGTGGCATGACTGCAAAATGCTCTGTAAAAAAGTTAAAATCACGAACAATAGTTTTGATTTCCATTTCATTTGAAATACTGTTAAACCAACCATCTGATCCTAGAGATTTCAAGACTAAACTCACCTTCACTGTCTTCATGAACTTCAGAAGTTGCAGGTGCATCTGATTTCCAGGAAAGTGCAAAGAGCAAATCCGCTTTTTTGGAGATGAATTTTTGTATTTCCACGTTGTCAAATCTCTTCTCTTTTCTTAAAAAGAAACAAAACTTATGAATATTGGTTTATCTGTAAAACCTTTTTATATCCAAACTTCTGCTTATGGCTCTCATGGCCCAGTCCGCTTAGAAATCCAGGCCTTACATTTTAGGATTTAACCAGGAATTCGCTTATTCTTCAACCTGGAGGTGGAGGGCGGGGAAACTTAACAAGTGAAGCTTCCAGCTATGGAGATGAAATTGAAAGCCCAGGGGCCTTTAGGTAAGGAATCTGCGTCTGGCTGAGCAGTGCCAACGACTTTAGCCCGCAATCCGCAGTGCACACCCACCTGGGGCGTCGACCCTCCTCCACTCAGCCCTCAGCACCAGCGAGGCAGTCCTCACGTGGCCCAGCTCGGCTGTTTCTAGGCGCAGCTGAGGGCCCTGCCTGGGCCCCCTTCCCCGTCTCGAAGCGGCGCAGCCCGTCCTATTACCTGCCCTGTAAATGCTGCAGGGCCGGCGGACCGCGAGCAGGCTCCACGGCCGACCCCAGGAGGCTCCGGAAGTTCGGATTGTCCTGCTGTTCACTCCGGAGTAGGGAGAGCAATGACGGCCCGTGGCAATTCAGGGACTGCCGCAGAAGGTCCCGGTCCATGACTAGAGAGTGAGGGCCTGGCCGCAGGTGGGCTGCTAGCCCCCTGTTCCGTGCCCACTACATGAGCCGGGTGGTCTGTGAGGCTAAGAAAGCCTCACAGCAGCCGGAATCACACAACTCGATCTACTGTAAAGGTTGCCTCTCCCGGAAGTGTTCCGGAGCCGCCCCTAGGGGTAGCGGGGCGGAACACAGGCCAGATCTCGCGAAACTGAGTGAGACTACGGAAGCCGGAAGGAATGGGCTAAGGGGTTTGAGTGAGTGATGTAGGTGAGAAACTTGTCTTAAAAAAATTTCTTGATGTTATTAGGTCGAAATAGCCCGAGTTGTATTGTAGGGTGACTAATTTATTCCCCTGTTCACAGAGGCGCTTCTAATGCCAAGGCCAGGGTAAGAGCCCCAGACTAGTTGCACAAGATTCTTCCCTGGAAGTAACTTGCTGTGTTAATCAATACCTACGTTTTAAGCGTAACTACCGTAAAACAGTTGCCCTGGAAAAGTTTCTCGATAGACTAGAGGGCAGAAGAAAAGAAAGGAACTCATTAAGAAACGAGTTAGGTTCACCGTTCATACCACATTTACTAATAACAATTTTAGAATTATGAAACCAGAATACCTTAAATGTACAGGCATGCTATTTTAGTTTTACAGCTTTACCCTATTCGATGATAAGCTGTAAAGTGCCTATACAGAGTAGTGACAGAAGAAAGGAACTTTAAGCAGGCTTACTCAAAACTCAAACTGGAGCAATTCATTTGTAAATAGCAAATTTAACTTGATTGTTCTAACTACTCTTGCTTTTATTCATTTTGTGTTTTAACAATTAACACCTTGTAACATCAAATGAGCTGGAAACAGAGGGAAACAGAACATGTAACATGTTTTATTACATAGGTTAGTTTGTTAGGGAGATGTCACAGAGGGATCATTATAGAAAGAGAAAATGTGACAAAAATAGCATGATTATTTCCAAGTAAATCCCACTTTGTCAAAACTGCATGTGTAGGATGTATGCTATTTGTACAAAAGTATTTCAGAATATTTTGTAAACTATAAAATATTTATTGTGCATTAAAATTACATATTTTTCCCTGAAAGGCATGCAGTCATGAGAATTACAGAAAATTTGTAGCACATAACAATGGTTTGGTCTGAGAGGATTCTACACTTTTGTTCTTGCTCCTCAGTGTGTAATAACTAGAGATTTGTAAATCTTTGTGAACATTCTGTACTGCTTCCCAAGAGATACTCATTCCCTGTTACCTGATTTCAGCACAATAAATATACTACTGGTGTGAGAAAAAAAAAAAACCCAAAAAAACTCAAACTGGGGGTTTTCATTTTTGGTTAGTGCTGGCCTTGAATGGCAGTTGCCACAGTTATTTAGGTGTCAATGACAACTTTGTTCTTCACTTCCTAAACACCACTCCCACTGCAGAAGGTGAAGCCTCACTGGATTTGTTACAAGTAGAAGGGATAAAAAGTGAGGGAATTAGTCTTGCATCTCATTTGGGAGAAACTAGTCTCAAAAATGGAGCTTCTCAAGGTGGGCATATAAAGAAAATACTTTAGTCACTTCCTGCTTTACTTTTTTAACTTTAAAATTTAAGAAACTTCCATATGAAGGGATATGAATAAATAAATATGTAGGGAGAAGCAAGGGGTAGTGGAGTGTGAGAAATGAGGAAGGCAGAGTATGCAAAACATCTTTGATGTTTGGTTCGTAGGCTATTCCATTTCTAAATAAAACACATACATCCTTTAACAGGCACTAGTCTAGACTCTGGAGATACAAAGATGAAGGAAACAAGGATGCAGGAACACAATGGTTCTTGAGTGGTTCATGGACTGATGTTGGAGTAGACATAAGAAATAAATATCACACAGGGGTCAGTTATGTTTTTGTGGACACCCACCAGACTGTCTGCTTCCATTGATCCCTTTTTTCTGGAAAATCCAGTAGTAGCAGTTGCTGGGAGTCAGAGAGGAGGGAGGAGAGGCAAGTATGTGTAGTTCAGGAGGAGGAAAGATATAATTAAAAGAGTAGAGGTGTGAAAAAGCAAGATACATTCTGGAAACCAAGTGTGACATTGAGATAGGTAGGGATATTTTAGTTAATAGGCATTTTCATTATGTAAGTGTCCCATTTCATGAGGGCTACAGATTGTTAGAAATAGACCCCTTGCCTTCACTGTGTGCATGTGCACACACACAGATTAAATTCATTATTTATTTAGCAAGGAAAACAAACTTGAGTGAAGCAAGGTACCTACATCAAGCAGGAGCAGAAGCAGTGTATTTCATTGTAGTTTTCTTGGCTCTCCCAAGTTTCTCAAGATAACATGTACAGGCACTAGTTTATTTGCTAAAGATATTCTTTGGTTTAATGTTACAAATTTATATTATCATTTGTAAAGGTCATACAAATAATCTATGCCTTTATATGAAATATTTGTAGAAAAGTTTCTGGTTCTTGATACTGATAAAAGGAATGTCAAGAAGGCTTCATCTTCGTGTGAGGTGAAGGACCAAGTGTGTTTCAAGGACAGCAAATACCAAATAAGAGCCTAGGAGTCTGTTATGATACATCCAACTTTGTTTTTCAGCAACTTTTTATGACTCCTCTTTTTTTAAATAGTAGAACTTATTTTTAGGGCAATTTTAGGTTCACAGAAGAAGTGAGAGGAAGGTACAGAAATTTCCCAGAAATACAACGCATGATTGAAAGATATGGTGAATGTTTAAATTAAAAAAAATTGTTATGGTAAAAGACACTGCCATTAATTCAGCTCAAAATTCTCCTCACTCTGAATACACTTATCCCATAATTTTGCCACTTTTTGAAGCAGTTCTGAAAGTCCTTTTTCATGAATGTCTTTTGTTGCACTGTTGTGGCTGCTTTGATGTCCTGATTGATTAAAAATATTTACCTTTAATAGTCATTTTAGAAGTTGCACAATGCCAGATCCAGTGAATAAGGTAGATAAAGACACACCATAATGTTTCTATGAGCCTGTCTTTCTATTGAATGGCCCTTAGCACCAGCATTCATGTATTTTGTATTACACCTTATGCAGGTATTCACACAAAAAAAGTCTTCTTGGGTCAGGGATTTAGCTCAGTAGTGCCCGTGCCTGCCTCACAAGCGCAAGGTTCCAAGTTCGATCCCTGGTACCAAAGAAAAAAAAAGATTTCTAGAACTGCTTCAGAAAGTGACAGTGATGGGATAAGTGTGTTCAGAGAAAAAGGGAGCATTTTTTTTTTTTGTATCAGGGCTGGAACTCAGGACCACAGGTGCAGTGCCACTGAGCTAAATCCCTGGCCCTAAAAGGGGAGAATTTTGAGGTGGATTAATAGCAATGTATTTTTTACTGTAATAATTTTTTAAAAATTTAATCATTTGCTGTATATTTTATCACCCCTTGTACCTACTGCTACACATGCATAGCCTCCCCTCATTATCAGCATCCCCTGTCAGAGTGATACATTTGTTACAACTAATAAACCTGACTGACACATCATATGTCAAATTCCATTGTTTACCTTGAGTTCGCTTTTGGCGTTGTACATTTTATGGTTTTGGACAAATGTATAATGACATTATATTATCACCATTATAGCATCCTCTGTGCTCTGTCTATTCTTCCCTCCCCCTCCAGCACACCTGGAAATCACTGAATGTTTACTGTCTCCGTAGATTTTCCTTTTTCAGAATATTATATAGTTAGAACCACATGGTATATACCTCTTTCAGGCTGGCTTCTTTCATTTAGTAATATACAGTTAAGTTTCTTTTATGTCTTTTTGTGGCCTTATGCCACATTTAATTTTAGCAGTGAATAATATTCTGTTGTCTAGATATAACATAGCTTATTTATCCACTCACTTAGAACATTTTATTGCCTCTAAGTTTTGGAGCTTATGAATAAAACTGCTGTAACATTTTCATACAGGGTTTTGTATGAACATGAGTTTTTGGCTCCTTTGGATTATTACTGAGGAGTGTGATTACTAGGTCATATTACAAGAGTATTTGTAAAAAAGCACCAGATTATCTTAAAAGGTGGCTGCACCATTTTGCACTCTTGTTAACAGTGAGTTAAACTTTCTATTGCTTCATATCATCATCATCATCATTTGTTGTTGTCAATGTTCTGCGTTTTTGCCATTTCAGTAGCTATATAGTGGTACCTCACTGTTTTAATTTCATTTCCCTGATGACCTATGATTTGGAACATCTTTTTATATGCTTATTTGTCATCAGTACAGTGATATATATCTCTGTTCCCCAACTTGGTTCTTTCCACAATTTTGGTCACAAACCGAATTGGACAAAAACCAAATCAAATTCAGTGGTTGGGTTCAATGTTGACCTTATGGAGAAATTTAATTCAATTCTTGTCCAGTTTGGTTTGTGACCAGAATTGTGTAGAGAATTGAGTTTGTGAACTGAGATACCACCGTACATCTTTTTCGATGTGGTATCTGTTTTAGGTCTTTGGCCCATTTTTAAATGGTTTGTTTTCTTATTGTTGAGTTTTAAGAGTTCTTTGAATGTCCTTTTAAAAATACTTATAACCTTTGACTTGCCTTTTTATTTTAATGGTATTTTTTGTGGAGTAGAAACATTTATTTTTTTCCATTAAGTTTATTGGTACATTTTAGGTATAAAATACAGTTGTATTCATCATTTGGAGTTTGTACTTTACATGATGTATCTTGGTTCTTATTTTTTCCCCATTCCCCTGCCCTCCCTTCAACCCCTCCTCCTTTCCTGTTTACAAAGACTTTGTTTCCAGTTTTTCCTTTTCTCATATTTTTTCTTTTCCCTTCTTTCCTTTCCCATACTCCTCTCACTTCCCCTACTCCTTTAGACCTTTTCTTCCTATTTCACATTATCAGTTATACATTTTGATTCTTATTTACACTTTCAGTTTCTCACACCAGAGAAACTATTTGGTATTTACACGTGTCCTGTTTATTTCACTTGAGTATCACCTCAATGTGCATCCATTTAGCTATAAATGTCTCTAGTTTCTCATTCTTTATGGCTGAGTAGTACTCCATTTTATAAAAAACCCCGCATCTTCTTTATCCAGTCTCCAGTTCAGAAAAATTTAATTTTAATGATGTCTACTTTATCAATTCCTTTTTTCAAGATCATGCCTTTGGTATTGTATCTAAA